TATGTATTTATATGTATTTATGGTTTTAATGTTTTGTGTGAACCGCCCAGAGTCCCCCACTAGGGGGAGATGGGCAGGGGAGAAATTTAATAAATAAATAAATAAATAAATAAATAAATATTGTAACTACAATACCACACTGGTTCTTGCAAGCCATTTCCATTTTCTTTTGCAGATAAAAAAAACCCAAGTGCCTCTGAGAACATCCAAAGTTTCTTGAAAACAATGGGCCTAAGACAAAATACACAGTGTCATTTTTGTGAAGAAGTCTTGTCTAGGGCAACAGTCTTCTAAATCCAGTCGACTGGACACATGAGAAATGTATACGCATGATGTCCCTCAGTTCCTCTTTTCCAAATGACTATCAGCTACTTCATCTTAATTTAGAGTTGCCTGTCATAGCTACAAAGGCAACCAAAGATGTGATTTGGGTGCCAGCTCACCCTATTATACTGTATCTTCTAGGGAAGAGCTTTCCATGTTCCTCTGCCACTAGGCCTCATGTCTCCAAGTGTTACATCTGCATTATATGAATCGGATGCCCCAGGAAATGGAATCCCTTACAGTTCCGCTAGAAATTTTCTGAATATTCCTTCTTCAATTTGTCAGGTACACTGTTTTCACTTTGTTTATTGTTGTTGTTATTATTGTTGCTACATGGCTCCCCACCATTTAGCATTTAGCTAAATGGCGCATTTAGGACCAGTTAGCAGGTGCTAAGATAGGTATTAGTGGAGAGAGAACTACTCTGCATCTTTGTGCTAGTGTAGAGGAGTACAGAGATAACCTTGAAGAAGGAATGCAACAGCTGTTACAAAAACATCAGCTTGGCCCAGAAAGAGAAGAGCGGGTGAGAAAGAAATTCAAGGTTGCCCCACTATAACTGTCTTTGAGCTAAGAGGGAGGGAGAGAGAAGCTGTCAGGCTTTCAAGATTCTCTTATTATACCCTCTAACAAAAAAGTACAGTTGCAGTAGTTCTTGTGGTATCTGTTTCCTGACCTGGCCTACCTTGAAAGGCTGATGGCCAATCTGCTGATTTAAGGTGCCGTCTCACTACCGATGCTGAAGAAAGTTTCAGCTCACTACCCAAGTACCTTTTCTGTACTGAGTGGGAGAGAGAGACTTTCATTATCCATTTCCTCGTGCAGCAGAAGTGTTGGGTCAGCCTCAGCCACGCAGCTTGCATTCCCCTTTGCCAAGGTCAGAAGTCTTACTCCTCAGCATATGCTCCCCTGTTAATTCCTGGGAAAAAAAACACTCTGTTGTCAAGCTGAAACAAAAATCAGCTTGCATTAACTGAGTGTTCCACTTATTAAAACTGTTTGCATTAAATTAAAGCAGGAGCAGTAATTTCACTACTGTGATTCATAAATGTTTTTTATGCTCTAGTTCATATATCTGGCACTGAAGATTTAATAGATTTTTAAATATTTGTTGTCATAGTGAGATAGTTTTCAGAATGAGTTTTTGTTTCATCGTTTGCTTGACTTTGGGATAATGGTCCCTTCCTTTGAACTCACCTGGGAAGATCGTTGTTGGATCTTTTGTTATTGTTTAATTTGGGGGAAAAAAACTTTTAAAAATCTAAAAAAACAGGCATCGAGATAATTAAAATTGTCCTTTATGATGTAATAGTTGAAGGGGAAAAATGAGATTAGAGCACCTTCTTTACAAGGACATGCTAAAGTCTGGTGCTTTTTAGATAGACCCGGGGAGGTAAAGAAATCAAGGGACATTATAAATTTATCATAGAGAAGATTGAGGGGAACAGTTAATAATAGTTTCCCAATACCTACATGATTATCTTGTCACCCAGATAACCAGTCATAGTCCTCCTTTATATCACCTCAGAGTGTAAAACATGGACTAATTAAATTAAGCTACAAGAAAGCAAATCCTGATGACAGCTTAGGGAAAAAAAACCTTCATAACAGGAAGAGTGGTTTGACAGTGGGACCAATTACCCAAAGAAGTGATGGGCTTGCCTTCCCTGAATGTGTTCAAGCAAAGCCTAAATAGTCTTCTGTTTGGGGTGCTTTAATTTGGATTCATGCACTGAACAGGAACCCCAGATCTTGGATTTTGTAAGCTGTATGAATTGTGAAGAGAGTAATTTTCTTTTTTGGGGGAGGGGGCATTTTATTTTTTTCCCCTTTTTATTGTGTTATTATAAAACTTGATAGATTACTGTATGTTATTTCAGTATAATGATATTTATATAATATAATATAATTAAATTCTTGATATTATGTTATTTAGATACCTTAGAGTATTGAAAATAAAGATGAAAAAAATAAAAAAGTTTATATTCTATCAATATTAATTAGGATATCAGTGTTACGAGCATTATGATTATTTGGTGTTTCCATTCAAAGTTAAATATAGCATTAGAAAGGAAGAGATGAAAGAAGATGTGACATACATCAAGGTGTTTGTTATATAATAGAGATTTCAGTCTTAAGCTAAATTACTTGATACTGAAATCTCCATTGTATTGTCACTTGCTCTGTGTGTGTGTGTGTGTTTGTATTAATAAAAGCAAAAAATAGATGGACAAAGCAAGTTTAACAAAATTAAAATACTAAAAAGTAAATAAGAAAAAGAAAAGGCAAATAAAAGAACAGTAAAAAAAAATTAAAAGCTATTTAATAGTTTTTCTAAAAGAGAGCAATTTTCTTCCTTCTCCCATGGTACTAGAACAACTTTCTCTAACATAGTGACCTTCGGATATATTGAACTACAATGCTCAGAATTCCTAGCAGGACCTTAGCCTTAGCACAGCTTTGGGGGTCCCTTGTGACTCTGCCTCGCTGGGGCCACATCTCCTCATCCTGGATGATGTCAATCATGCCTGCCTTCTCCAAAGTTGGACACTAGCCAGCATCTCCTGGGATTCTTGATACCCAGGATCCTGATGGAAGCTCACTTGATGCCAGAACCAGGTCACAGAGACTACAGTGCTTCTCTGAATCACCCTGATCCAGAGTTCCTCCCAGTCCTCACATTTGGGATCTATTCATTCAGTGTTCCAAGTGGGTTGAGCTTCTCTTCATCTCCCAGTTACTTAAACACCTAGCCTGGGTATGGTGACTCTTTCAGTGCAGCATAGCTCCATGTCTTTCTCAGATCCTTTCCAGAAACTCTGTTCTTAAAAGAACAGCTGGCATGTTCTCCATTTCCTCTGCACTCCTTTTCCTATTGGTCTTAAAAGAACTGCATTAAGGGTATGTGAACACAGCATGGTAGTGTGTGTAAATGTGTGTGCAGGAAACTAAGCTGTTTCATAAGTGTTGCAGAAAGTCTGTCCCATTTGATGCCTTGTCTTTGGGTGTTACTCTGGGGGCTTATCCAGCTCACACCGAGCAGGTGGTGAATGCAGTGAAAAAAGAAACAGCAATCAAATTAAGTGCTAGTTATGTTTAATATCCTTATTAGCTGTGACAGCTACACGTTCCATCAGAAAATGCTAATTAGTTTGAATTTGCTTACGTTTGTATTCCCATTTTGCTTCTGATTAATTGCATTATGACTTGGAAGAGGATGTTCTTTCGCCTAATTAGTAGTGCTTCTTTCTGTAGTCCTTTTCTAAGCTAACAGTGGTTAGTTTCCAGGGTGAGGTTTTCCTTACCTGGATGCTCAAGGCATAAAATCAAGATTGCAGTGCATAGCCATGTGCAGTCCATATCCACATGAATGGAGAAAAAGGGACGTACGTGCCCTAATTTTAAGAGGAATTTAATCTTTTAATTTTAATTTTATTAAATTTTATCTTTTTATGTCCTCTGTCTTGAGTTATTTATAAAAATAATAAGGCAGGATGAAAATTCTAAAACAAAAAAATTTAAAAGCAGCACTCGTGTGTGTTTTCAGTTGGAAAACATTTATTTACCACAATGCAGAATGCAGTAAGTGCAGCTCTCTACCGAATAGATGATTAATGGGAGAGAAGAGTCAACGGGCACCACAGGAAATCAGTGTTGGAAAATTTCTGTGGGTTGTTTCCAATCCGAGAGCCAGTTTGGTGTAGTGATTAAGGCACCAGGCTACAAATGGGGAAACCATGAGTTCTAGTCCCGCCTTAGGCATGAAGCCAGCTGGGTGATCTTGGGCCAGTCATTCTCTCTCAGCCCTAGGAAGAAGGCAATGGCAAACCACTTCTGAAAACCTTGCCAGAAAACTGCAGGGACTTGTCCAGGCAGTCACCAGGAGTCAAGACTGACTCAAAGGCACAATTTTTTTTTTTTTAAATCCAGTTTAGTTTTCACCCAGCTCATTCCCAGTCAATCCCTACATCTAGAACAGAGCAAGGACATTTGCCGTTCAGTTCAGGTAGATGTTTATTTTTAAAAATATCAGCAAACATCAAAAACAGTTAACTGGCCTGCAAAACCAGGAAGAGAACATGAACAACAGGTGAGAATTTACACTATCTAGATATCTCTGCCGGTATATATCAAAAGGCACAGAACTTTCCAGAGCCACTGCAAAACAATACTGTAGGTAATTAGCATGGACAGTCCCAAAGAGGGTAGCCTTAGTTATTCCAGCTTTAACCCTGTTATATACATAGCAGTGGCAGAATAGAAGTGGAAAGTAGGACTCCAGGTGATCTCTCCTCTATTTTGTACCATTAAAGAAACAATGTGGTGAATGAGGATGAAGTATCCAACAATGATACACTTGGTTTGGTTCTGGTTTAGCCCACTCATTGTGATTTATAAGTCATGATTTATGGTCTGGCATTACATACAAATGCATGTCGGTTTTTCAACCAACCATAGTAGAAACAAGCCATTGTACAGTGCAATGTGTGAACTCAGCTCTGTGTATCTGATCAAGTATACTCTAAGTGTAGTGGCTGAGAACACTTGTGCACAAGAGTTCATTGTGTCATTCCCTCTTCCCAATCCCTAACAAATGTTCAAAGCCAATCTGCAGGGGACTTCCTATCTGCCATACTGAGAACTCAGTGTGCTGGCCCCAGTGTTTCCTCCAGCTGATCAAGAGGCACCGGGAAAGGGACTCTGAAGTTTTGAATGGAGGGAGAGACAAACAAACTATGAGGTGGGGTGAGGGAAGAGCTCCTGCCATTGGAAGGATGGAACACCCACAGACTCAGGAGAGCTGCAGTGCCAAGCAAAAAGATCAACTTGGCCATGGCCTCAGCTCCCTGACACAGCCGATGTCATAAGGTTGGAGAAATCTGGAGCTGATCTGAACTGGCACAAAGACCTATGTAGAAGTGCCCTGATGTGTCAGCAAAAAATACAGTTTAGAGCAGGCCCAAGATTCTTAGTTATTGCAGGACTCCATCACTTATCAGCCCCAGAATGTAACAGACCTGGTTGGATAGCCAGGTAAGAGGAATTGAAATCCTGCAACATTTGGAACATCACAGCTTATTTAAGCATACCTAATTACTACTACTATTATATGTAGATGTTACTATTACTAAATTACTCAATAGTTATTACTATTATTAACAACCCAGCTGATCATATTTAAGTAGACTCTTGATTTAAGTTTTTACGATCATGGGAGATTGGAATATTTAACTTTTTATTTGCATTACATTAACAGGAAAGGGCATAAGTATTTATAAGATTAAATTTCAGTTATTTTTATATCAATCAAAAGTTTATATATATCCATTCCAAACGATCTTTCCAATTTACTTCAGATATTTCTTTTTATTTATCTCGTTTAAATAAATTTTATTTATTTATTTTGTTTATTTTTATGAATAGATTCTTTCTATTTAGTTTTTTAAAATACCAAATTCATTTATGAGCTTCCGGTTTTCTCTTCCACACACGTATTACCATTCTAAACTCCTGGCTTTGCAGTTTTAAATTAAATGTTGCATCCCTGTTTCAGCATGCTTATAGCAGACCTATTGGAACAAAGGAGTCCAGTTTAGCAGTTCTACTATTTCAGGAAATTATCTTTCATCACTGACATTGTCTATAGTCCAAGTAAAAAGAAGGAAAAGTTTCAACAGCCTGAGTTTTAACAAACTGATTTTATTAACTTTTCCCTTATCAAATAATTCATCAAGGAAATGCTTTCTGCAACTGCAGTTTCATTATTTTATCAATTAAATGTCCCATGAGAAAATGTACTAAAAATACAAGAGTTTCCCTACATTGATGGAGCGATTATTCCACATTTTTGGAGATTAAACTAAGATTTCCATTTATTGAGGCAATATCTTAATTATGAAATTTGGTGAAACCTAGTGATAAAGCCAAGATTTTATTAGTCTTCCTCATATTAAATAGCAAGTCTTCCTCATTACAATCCATCGATGAGCCTCTGGCCTCACAAGATAGAAAATCCTTTTATCTGACAAAGAATTCACACAAAAATTAAGAAAAAGCTAAAGTGAATCCATCATGTTTTATTTTACAACTAGTCAAACAACAAAGATCGGTCATTCATAATGTCAGGACAAATGTTGGCCACCAGATGGCAGCAGATCACCATAGAGAGCTAGAAGCGCATTTGGGAGGTCTTATACAGTAATAAGATAGGGTGTCATTTCGATTGGTTTTCTTCACATAATCACATTTGGGTCAGAGGTTGGCCAGGATAGCTGGAATGGGGAAATAAACAGAATTGAAGTCATTTGTCTCATTTTCCACAATAGTTTTCATTTTTATTAAATCCTCTGACATTGTGGGAAGGGCTGCAGCTGGTGGAAGTATATTACAACGGGTTTTCCCTGAGGATGTGTTGGGGGGTTTGGCCAAGGCCTTGGCTGCAGCCTGGAATAGGCAGGTGACTGAGGTGCAGTCTCTCTCTGTGCCCGATCCCGGGGTCTACCTTACTTTTCCAAGGAGCTCCAGGAGATAAAACATCAGAAGGAACACACTATGTGGTTCTCATGGGGATGCGGTGGCGCAGTGGCTTAATGACGCTGAAAGTTGCCGGCCAGAAATGG